CCCCTAGAAATTAATGGGAAAATAAAATATCCTTGAGTCAGGATTTAAAAAAAGAAAGAAAAGAATTGTGAGATTCAATCCTGGTCTTGAAGGTTTAGGCTGGTCTATATCTAGCTTATTAAAAGAAATCCAGAAGTGGTGATAATAATTATAGTTAATGCGCACATAGCCCTAACTTTGCACCAGTCACTATTTTATGTAGTTTACATATATTTCATCTTAATCTTTGCTCTTACCCCATGCGGTATACTGCCTCTTAAGCTGGTGTGGTGTCTCCATGCTCATCAGGAATTCAGGCTTCTTCTATGTATTCTGCCATCTTATTCCTCATTCCAGTCAGTGAGATGGAGAGAAGATGAAATACACATTTCTCTTTATGGAAACTTCCTATAAATCACACTCCTAGAGATAGCACTTTTTCTCACATTTTCATTGACCAAAATCTAATCAATCACATGATCACACCTACTTGTAGGAGAGGCTGAAAGTTATGCCCATTTTAAAAAGGGGGGGGAGAGGGGTCCGTTTACTAAAGTAAAAGAAAAGACAGATTTGGGAATCAGGTTCTGATACATATTTCCAAAACAGTTTCTTCATTTGGTATTCATTCAGTCATGTATTGAACAATAAGTGCCAGGAATTAGAGATTCTGGAAATATAAGGATGAATGAGACAAGGAATTAAGTAAAGTACACAGTCTAATGGGAAGATAGCAACTGATAATGAAAAGTAAGGGAAAAGCTGTAATGGAGATATATGCAGTTGCTTATATCTACCTGGGTAGGACTAAGGAGGAAGGTTTCAGGGCTTGCAACAGACTTATTTTGAAGTAATAACTTCAAGGTTAAGTAAAAGTTAATACAGATAAAGAGGATTGTAAGGATTACTCATCAGCTTAATCAGATATGACTGCTATTAAGATATTAGATTGCTACTTTTAAAGACTAACCCCTAATCATACCTTCTTTGGGAAAGCTTTGCTTTCCTGCCAAACTAAGTCTCTCTAAGGCACAGGTGGGGAACATCCGGCCTGAGGGCCATATAAGGCCAGCAAAATCATTTGGTCTGGCCCTGCCAAGGCACTAGGGGTGAGTTAATTAAATGTTTAACCAAATATAGCAAGCTAATTTTTAAGTTGATAATTTTATTTGGCCCTCAAATGATGTTATAAATATCCAAATGGCATTTGGCAGAAAAAAGGTCCCCACCCCTGCATATGCCTCCATCATGTCATGGCCTCCATGTATTTACTTCATGGCCTCAAGTATTTACTACCGGTGTGCTTTTACATTTATCTGTAATATTTAATGTCTGTACCCTTACTAAACTATAAATTCCATAGTAGCAGCAACAGTTAGTTTTTATTTGCTTTTTTTTAAACTTTATTTTTTAATATATTTTCTTTTATTTCAGAGAGAAAGGGAGGAAAGAGAAATAGAAACATCAGTAATGAGGGAGAATCATTGATTGGCTGCCTCCTGTATGCCTCCTACTGGGGATCAATTGAGCCCTGCAACCTGAGCATATGCTCTGACCGGAAATCGAACCGTGACTTCCTGGTTTTTAGGTCACCACTCAACCATTGAGCCACATGGGCTGGGCTGTTTGCTTTCTGCTTTCCATTGTTTCCTTGCGCCTCATATAGATTCTAGCACATAGTAGGCTTTGTAAATACGTGTTGAATGAATGATTCCAAAATTATTTCCAGGATAATAGGCACATTCTAAACCAACCTTTCTTCCTACAGTGACAACAGGAAGAAAAGCCATGACCATTGTACTTTCATTTGTATTCTTTGCTAAGCCATTCACATTTCAGTAAGTATGTTTAATTCAACAAGTTCCTCAGCTTTTAGATACTTTGTCCCACACTTCCTCTGAAACAGCCTTAATTCTTTATAAAGTGTATTTTTTATCTCTATCCCTATTTTATTGATGTCTTTCTTCTGTTTCAGAAGTTTATGTAATTATTTTGAAGAAATCATTTTGTACACTTAAATTCTCTAACCAGAGTCCCAGGGCAAATGTGATCCTGTTTGCAATATAAATGAATATGAGCTATGTGTTGAGATTAAGGGATTCATTCCCCCTTGTCCTAGTGCAAATATATAAATTATATATATATATACACACACACACACACACACACACACACACACACACATATATAATTTTTAAAGGAGTGAGGTAGAGAAGAATTCTATCTGTTGTGCCCTAATGATTTAGTTAGTTTGTGGCTTTTTGTGAAAGCCTTTATTGTTTTCTCTACTGTCAAGATGTGTTTGAAATTAGCATCATTTAAAGCAATGATGCTAGCAATTCCTAATCAGTCAGATCTAATCTGATCTAAAGAATCACTTACCTTGATTAGGAATTGAGAAGATTCAAACCTAGAAATTATCAATGTATAAAATTAAAGGCAACTAAAAAATAAATTTCCATTCATATATTTTGTTTTCTATAAATTGATTACATGTGGAAGGTACACATTATGGTAATCTTTGCCAATTCATCTTTCTCTGGATGTTTCCCTTTTTATCTTCATATTTTCTACCCACCTGGGATAACTAGTTGAATTCCCAAGATGGCCATTGGCAGCTTTACGAATCCAGGGCTTTTAAGTGTACTCTTAAGACTTTTGGTGGGAATTCGACTTTGAATTTTCTATTATCCAAAAATTCAAATGAACTATATTTTGTAGTTTGTAAAATACCTTAAGTCTATATATACACCTAACATACTAGTAAAATATGAAATTCTAATCTGATCTAAAACTATCTTTATTTTAACACTTATTGCAGGTTTCCCATTTCAAATTTTTATTTTATTGCATAGTTTTTGTGAATTTATCACCAAATTCTGTGGTGAATAATAAATTGTTATCTTAATATTAAACTTTTTTTAATATATATTTTTTCTCTTAGGTACATATGGTCTGGTTTGTTAGTTATCCTTGGTATATTTCTCAATGTTTACAGCAAAAATATGGATAAAATAAAACTACCATCGATATATGATCTGATAAACAAAACAGTGGAAGTGAAAAAATCAAGGACGTTGGCACAAACTGTGTAGGCGGTGATGCCTGCTGTTTCATATAGAATGCTAAAGACCAATCATCAATTAATTCACTTGCCAAAGGGATTATTATAAAAACCAAAGGAACTGACGGCATTTGAGACTGGATTACATATGAAGTCAGCCCTTTTCCTCAGAGCACTTTTTGACTGTTCAGCTTCTGAAGCAATCAAGAAAGCAGCATCTGTCACACCTTAGAATAATATGTCAATATAAAGGACTGTAATTATGAGCAGTTTGTTGAGAATTTCACTGGAAATGGACCATGGTGTAAGACTAATTAGATATCATTATGGCATATCAGAGAAACTGATATGTAATAGACTGTTTTGTCTTCATTCCATTTTGGTGGTATTTAAATTGATTCTCTGTTATAAGAGTGAACTGATGATTTAAAGTCTAGTGATAATAACTTCATTATAAATAAAAATTATTCTGTGATTATTTTATTAAAGAATGTGTTGATAGAATTTTGTTATAAAGAGGGAAGTAAAGATTGGAGTAAGGCTTTACATAAACTTTAAAACTTAGGGCTTTCTCTGATAACTTAAAAATATTCTTTAGAGAAAACATGCTTGAATTTTTCTGTGAAATATAGCCAGTATAGTAAAAGGAGACAATATACTGCACCCTATAAATATATATCACAAGAAAAACTTGCTACTATTCATCAAAGAGGTGCTAAAAGATTTAATCATTAGGATTCTTTAATTGAAGGCAAAATAATTGATGTCTTAAATTATTATAAAATACTAAAGTTGTCATCATTTTTCTTATACAATTGAATTTGGAATTTATTTTGTCAGGTTGCAGATGTAATAAGGTAACCTTAAGAAATACAAATACATACAGCAAATTTGTACAGTTTGTCGCTTGCAAGGTTTTCATCTAAACTCATAAGATTTTTACCCTTATGTTTTAACAGTGAGTTTTTGGAATTGCTTCCACTATATTTTTTAAAATGCTACTAATCTTCATTTTCAGTGTAAGTAATGTTGATTAAAACAGTATCTCTGCTATTGGTGATATTATATTTTGTCAGTATAATATACTTGGAATATTTAATCTCATTTCTTAAAATTCTATTGTATGATGATGGTGACTTTAACCTGTTATGTGCTTTTGTACAACAGAGCTCGTAGTAATTTAAGAATATAGCATAAGGAATTTGGACTGATTTTTATTTGTTATATGTTAAAATACTGTGGGTGTTTTATTTCGAAGTGGTAATCAGTTTTAAGTTTCTATATTTCAAAATGAATCTTAATTTCTATTTTATAATGCTGCCTTAAACTCTAAGACAATAAGGATTTGTGCTTTTAAAAAAAGTTATTTTTTCAAATCCTGGATAAAATAGTATAATTTTAACTTAATATGGACACCATTTTACCTCCATGCTTTTCTGATTTTTTTACCACTGTTTGCCTATTACAAACTCATCACATCCCCCAATTTTAAACTGTTTAAAAAATCAGTTTTCCAGCCTAACCCTTTATACTCCATTTCCTTTTTTTACCTGCCATCAGATGGAGATAAACTTTATCTCACTTATTTGTATCCATGGAGTTGTATTAATGAATAGTTTGAAGTATAGAATAATTTCTAGAGCAGTGGTTCTCAATCTTGACTGCACATTAGAATCACCTGGGAATCTTTTTAAAATCCTGATTTCTGGGCCTCATCCTCTGGAAATTCTATTTCTTTGTTATGGGATGGGGCCACAACATTAGTAACAAAGAAACATAATTTCCGGAGGATGAGGCCCAGAAATCAGGATTTTGAAAAGATTCCAGGTGATACTAATGTGCAGCCAAGGTTGAGAACCACTGTTCTAGAGTAAAGGAAATCAACGTTTGTATATTTGTACCAGATTTTGTTATATGATCTTTGATGACTATTATGTCATCCCAACAACCAAATAATAATAAGGGAATTAAAAATAATAATTGAAATTGTTAATGTTTAAGTGTTTGGTAGGTGTCAGGCACTATTATAAGTGCTTTATATGTAATAACTTATTTAATCCTCACAACATGTCCATGAGGGTAAGTGTTTTCCTCCTCTTATAGATGAGGAAGCTGTGGCCCCAGGGAGTGAGTGACATTCCTCGCCTTACCTAGCTGCAAAGGGCCAGAAATATCTGTCAAGCACTCTGGTTCCAGAGTCCATGCTCTTAATCACTATGTTGCCTCTCTCAGTAGATGTGATTATTCATGATCACATTTTTGCAAATACAGAGATTGAATATGAGTTCACAATTACATAACTGTTATGGGATATTTCTATCCATTGAACCCCACTATGAACATTTAAGTTACCCAAAGTAACATTAAGTAATGAGGTGTCTCTCAATAAAGAATTTGAGACATACTTCAATTAATAAGCAAGGATGTTTTGCTTGGAACATTTGTTAAATGCAGAGATATATGTGTGTCTTAAGCAGAATTATATATAAATTGTTTCGTCCGCTAGGTTCACATTAATTGTGTATCATACAGTAGGCACTCAATAAATATCTGTCATATAGGACTAAGAACATCAAAGAATATCATTAGATCAAAAAAGATAATTGGATAAATGACATTGTGAATTTTGCCATATTATGTCCCCTTCTTTGGCATATTCAGGCAACAAAATACATAGCAGAAGAATCTGGCTAACTCTTGTGGATCATTGTATTAAGATTGGACCTAGAGGTGATCCAGAGCCCTCAGTAAGGCCATGTTGCGTAATAAAGAATCTGGCTGACCTTTGTCCCTGTTCTCTGGAAGGGAGCTTTTAATCCTTGGAGTTTCCCAAGTGTTGGGAGTGTCTTTGTTATTCATGGTGGGCCCCTAGATAATGACAAGGTGGAGACTGATCTTGCTAGAAAGACTAACCTTGTGACTCTAGGGTTGGGGTTTTGAACCACATTATATCAGCCCAGCCTGTTGGGGTGCAGGGAGGGGAGAAGGTGTTTGGAGATTGAGTTCAATCGTGTGGCCAATGATACAGTCAATCATGGCTATGTAGTGAGACCCCAATAAAAACCGTGGACACCAATTCTTGGGAGAGCTCCACTGCTTGGAAATACACATATATATGACAGGACAGTGATTCATCCTGAAAACATGGAAGCTTAGTGTTTGTTACTCTCCCAAATCTTGCCCCATCGGTCTCTTGTCAGGTCCTAATTTTTATTCTTTATAATAAAATAATGGAAATTATAATGCTTCCCTGAGCTCTCTGAGTTGTTCTAGCAAACAGTCAAACCTGAGGGGATAGTGGGAACCCCTTGAATTTGTAACCAGTTGGTAACAGGTGTGAATAGCCTAGGAACCTCAGAGATTGCAGCTGGTGTCTCAAGTGAGGGCAGTCTTGTGGAACTTGATCTAACTCCAGATAGAAGTTCACTGCAGGCTTTATGCTCAACAAATGTTTTTAAATAATTATTAGTATTCTCTAGACTATAATCTAAATCTCTTAATTTTCTCAAGTGATTTCTCTTAAATCCACTTTACATTCTAGATTCTGCCTTGGTCAAAAAGAATTTTAGTAAGATTTGACTAGGATAATGGACCATTAATATGGCTTAGCATAATGAAAATATTTGTGCATTTAACCCTCGCCGGTTTGGCTAAAGGTTCCCAGGTTCGATTCCAGTCACAGACACATACCTTGGTTTCAGGCTCCTCCCTGGCCCAGGCCCTGGTCAGGGTGCGTGCAGGAGGCAACCAATTGATGTGTATCTCTCACATCAATGTTTCTCTCTTTCTGTCTTCCACTCTCTAAAATAATTAATTGGAAAAATATCCTTGGGTGAGGATTAACAAAAAATAAAATATGCATTTCGATATCACATTTGCTCTGTAAACTACACAGTTACCAAATTATCAGTCTATTATCAAATTATATTATAAAATTATCATATTGCTCAGAATCTTTGCTGCCTTCCTAATGAAGCACATGACAATTTTTCCTAATATGTTTGAGCAAAATTTTCACATTTTCACTTATTCTTATCATGTCCGTATTGAATGTCCTTGTACTTGTCCACTGAGCCGTCTTAACCTTTTTAACAAATTGTGTAGCATCACTAACTTAACTGCTCTATTTTTATTTAACATCGTTTATTACTCCAGGCCAGTATGAGCTAGGCATTATATGAGATGCTGAGCATGCAGAACAGAATCTATAACCTTCACTCAAGGCATACCCATTCTAAAGAAGATTGCTGTGATATCTATTTAAAAATATATTACTATCCCCAGCCAGAGTGGCTTAGTTGGTTGAGCATCATCCTATGCATGGAAAGGTTGCCAGTTCAGTTCTGGCCAAGGCACATGCCTGAGTTGCAGGTTTTAACCCTGGTTGTGCACATAAGGAAGGCAACTGATCAATGTTTCTCTCCCCCTTCCTCTTTCTAAGTGTGTCCTTGGATGAGGATTAAAAAAATAAAAAATAGATGTAGATTATCTCATTAACATTAAGTTTTCAAAATAATAATTCCCCACAGTGGTAGTGATTCTAAAATGTTAATGTGCATGTGAATCACCTGAAGATCTTAAAAAGGAGGATTTTAATTCAGTAGGATTGGCATGGGGCCTGATATTTTGCTCCAACAAGAAACTGATGCTACATCAGTTTGGTCCATGGACTACACGTAAGTCTCAAGGCCTTAGAGAATAAACTCCAGAAGTTTTCAGAACCAGGACATCTTGAATTATTTGGATAATGTTCTCCTGATTTCCTTCCATTTCCTAACTTCCCATTCTGTGTAACCTAATCTGATTTAAGAGACTTTCACAGTCTCTTTGTCCAAATGCAACAGAGTTGCTTGCATAAGTGAAAAGATTTCTTGAGTCATTGTAAGTGTATAAAGGATTTAATATTCATAACTTTCTCTATAAATGTTACTTTTTAAAATCTCCACGAAAGTAAGATAAAACCCATAATTTCCCACCAGTCATGGTCTGTTGTTTTAATTTCATGGCATGTAGTTAGAGTACTTTTTGTGCTATTCTGCAGTGACATTATGAAGAAAAGGTTTGCTTCAGTGGTTCGCCACTGCTTCAGAAGGAACTGGATTCCAGCGGGTTCGGGAAGTAGGACTTAACACTTAAGGGATTCTTCTGAGACTTTAATCACAAAATGTGTTTTATTAATATCTTAATCCTGTGATACCCCCAACATTTCTAAAATATAATTAGATAATTTCAATCAGTGTAATACAATGGATAAGACTTACATAGATAAAATAAGTAAAGAAATGTGGATAATTTTTCATGATGATGATAGAAATGAGACCTTGGAGTCTGATTATTGTAGATCTCATTGCAGGACTCATCTTCCATTTTCTCCTAATGCCAGGTGCATTGAAAGGAACAAAAACAATCAGGTATATAGTGTGTTTCGTTTCTGACTCAACAGAATATGAGCACTTGAAAATGGATTTTTATGTTCTGATAAGGTTTATTAATATGTACCTTAATTGTGCCCCCCCCCAACTGCCCTCCCCTGCTGGCCTGATCACCCACAACTGCCCTCCCCTGCCAGCCTGATTGCTTTTGTTCCTTTCAATGCACCTGGCATTAGGAGAAAAGCAGGGGAGGACAGTTAGGGGTGATCAGGCCAGCAGGGGAAGGCAGTTGTGGGTGATTAGGCCAGCAGGGGAGAGCAGTTAGGGCGATCGACTGGCAGGGGAGTGGTTACAGGGTGAACAGGCTGGCAGGCAGGGGAGTGGTTGGGAACCAGCAGTTCCGGATTGTGAGGGGGATTTCCCAGATTGGAGAGGGTGCAGGCTGGGGTGATTTAATTAACAATTCTCTGATTACCATCCCAATCCATATAAATAATATCTTGCTGGCTGTTAATTCAATTTATTTTTAAAATACTGGTTTATTTACCAATTTAAATTAGTAAAACTTCAAATTTAAGCAGTAACATTTGTAATGTTTAACAATTTAAGTATAGATTTAAAATTCTTTAGAAGGAACATTAACTAATAGAAATAGAAAATAAAATTCAGTCATTATAATAAGCTTAAATTTCATATCATGATTAATTAGATAAGATTGTTTTTAATATAATTGAGATTGGAAGACTTTACTTCCCCTGAAAGTATTGACTATTTGAGATGATACCAATTCAAATATCTTGTAAGATTCCTCAATTTTGCTATTGTCTAGTTCACA